ACACACACACACACACACACACACACACACACAAACACACACATACTCACACTCACATTCACACATCCCATCACTGTTTTTTCTCCATTATCCTCAATTTTACCCACATTGAAGTTAGATCTAGATTCTAGCTTTTTTCTAGAGACGAAAGTTACAAAATTATGATGAAAATAATGAAATGCTTGTTTTCCCGGTTGCTTCCCTTGTTGACCCAGAGACGTTTCCGGTGTGCGTTGGAAAATTAAGTCGTACGAAATCGAAGGTCATATTTTACATCTGACCATGTAATGTACGTCATCAAACTGTGCGTACTACTTCATGAATAATTTTTTTAGAATCAGAAGGAGGCAGTGGATTTGTTCAGGAGGGTTGCACCATGTCAGACCGTGAGAGTGGAGACGAGCAGCAACAGCCGCAGGCTCAAGGTATGACAACAAGTGGCTCTAGATTTTTAGAAAGAATGCTTTAATGCTCCCAGAATGTCCACTCTTTTCATGCACTTTGCACTTTGAGATGTGGGTCACCATGACACTTCCGTGCCGTTGGCGTAATCTGCTGTGGTCGGTCGGTGCGTGCGAGGTCGGGTCAGGTGTTTTGTTGACGAATGGAAATCCTAACTATTTTTTAACATTTCCAGAACACCCAGCGCGTCGGCATTGTCCGCAAGTCATTTCAGCCGATTAGGACACACGAGCCGCATAGTGCGTTGCAATAAGTAGGAAGTCAATTCCAATGCGTAACAACGCTGTCAACTAACTGGGCTACTTGCTTCTCACTTCAGGTCCAGGCCCTGGTGGGTCTCTAACTCTGCCCCCCCCCCACCCCCTCAAACACACAGACACACACACTCCCTCTCCCTCTCTCTCATACAGACACACACAGCCCCCCACCCCCTCAAACACACAGACTGGCACACACACTCCCTGCCAATCTCTTACTCCAGTGCCTGTGTCTCTATTGAATTCTTATGAACCACCTGATACTGCAGTGCTCTAGTATTGCCAATGCGGAGAATAGCGTCTCGGCTGGAGTTAGATCTCTAGTGCCCACCAGTTTCAAATTAAAATTTCATATTTTCCCTTTCCCTCAACCCAGTTGCCTGGCCTTGTTATTTTTGTTCTTGCCTTGAGTTCGAGGTCTGCTTCCTAAAAAGGCTGGCCTCACTGATTTTTGGAAAAGATCTGTGTGTGCATGTAAGGGGGGGGGGGGGGGGGGGGGGAGAATACTATTGTGATAGAATCTGATCATAATACTTTGCTTTCACTTTCAGTTAAAAGTACCCTTTATGAGTAAGTTTCTATTTTGAAACTGATCTCAGAACCTTGCTTTTTATAGAACAGTATGAATTACTCAAGGAATGAGACGTGTGAGTAAGTCTCTATTCTGAAATCTTGAATCCCAGTTTTTATTTTTTTTAAATAGTTAAAATTATTCTCTATCGTAAGTCTATTCTGTGCATAGGCAGGGTGCTTGTCTCTTGTCTAAATATGCAGGATTTGGTTCGGTCCTCTCAAGGTAATTTTTTTTTCATTTAGTATTTCAATTGTCTGTGTATTTATTAAAACTCTGGTAGATCTAGCTGTTGGTTAAGGCTAAGGGTAGGAAATGACTGCTTTCATTAACTAAAGGAAGTGGCTATCCTCACCCGGGGTGAGAATAAAAATACGATCGACCTCTCACCCCGGGTGAGACTTGCCACCGTTGGCTATTCTCACCCGATGTGAAACAAGACCTGTTTTTCCTAATTTCGGAATACTTTCTATTGGTGTGGATGATCAAATGGATAAAAGCAAAGAAAAAATTATGTTATTATAGCACAAAAGTAAGTTAATTTGATCGTCTACAAAGATGCTAGGCCTATGGCTATTTCATTTTTCGAATCGAGCCAAACTACGCGGGTCGCCATTTTGTTTTGCCCGGAAGTTCCTGCAAGATCTACTCCTCCTCTCTTCTCTCTCTCTGTCTCTTTCTGAATACTGTCTATAGGTGTGGACGAGATCAAATTGACCAAAACAAAGTTAAAAAATGATGTTAAAACACGAAAGTAAATTAATTTCGTCGTCTACAAAGATGCTACGGCTATTTAACTTTTCGAATCGAGCCGAACTACACGGGTCGCCATTTTGTTTTGCCCGGAAGTTGACGCGACTCCTTTCTCTCTCTCTCTTTCTCTCTCTCTCTCCCCTGCCCACAGACAAAATTGTACGCTTTTAGGCTAACAGTAGTAATGGAACGTTTGTTCACGGCACAGAATTCTAAAATTTTTATGTTATCACAGTGTAGAATGCTGTGGTTCTGGGTGAACGCAAAATTGGTTGGCATAGATCTAGGCTATAACGGTGAACGCACACCAGGTGAGAATAGCCAAAAGACTCGCCTGCGCTATTCTCACCTGGGGTGAGAATAGAGGTGGCCTTAATTAAAAAATAACTTTTGTAACACAAATGAAGCTTTAAATTGAAGCATCAGCCTGGAAAACATTTGAAATCTCTCACAGTTCATGCTGCTAGATTGACCCCTTCATTTTAAAGGGGTATGCATTCCTTTTGCCAGCACTTTTTCAGCTATGCTCGTTAACAAGGACAGCAGTCTCACATCTCAGTGTGAGTGGAATGGCTGTCTAGATCCAGCCCACTCGTGACATCTTGGGACCCCGAGTCTTTGATTGTGTCACTTTCCTCGTGATTCTGTGTGTGAACCCCATCTTACCCTTAATTTTACAAAAACTTGCAAATTTACTGCCTTTTCAACACTTTGCAGTCATGGACTTCTCGGGCCTGTTTGCGCCAGGTGACAGGAGCGGTTAATTTTCACCTCGCATTATTGCGCCAAGTGACTGACTACAAAGTGTTAAAAGTCATTTCGGTGTTCAAATTTTGAGGGGTCATGGCACGTGGTTGTCTTGCAAGCCTACTCTAAGGTATTAAATAAGTGTGTGTGTCGTCCCTGCTTATTAATTTTCAGTTTTTTTGCGCACCCCCTGCTCCTTATTCATTAGCCCCCCTTTATTATTTTCCAACTTACCACGACCAACGATCATGTGCAACATCTAAAATCTAGATATCTGAATGAAACTTCTTTTTTGTTTGTAAATGGCAAATTACCTTCAGTATTAGTTAGTACCAGTTTCGGGTTGGCCATCTCAATTTTCTGTGCATTTTAAAAACTTTTGTACCTTGGTTTATATTTTTAATGAAACTGTTTTTTATGGGAAAAATTGCCACAGTAACTTACACTAAAATCACACAAATTTTATGATCTCTTGTTCTTTTGTTCACTGGCGGAAAAATAAAACAGATTTGTTCCTACTAGTACAGGGGTTTATCTTGGACCACTTGTCAAAAATAGTGTTTGGACAAGTGGTCCAAAATAGATAAACAGGGGTGGGGGGTTGAAATACTTTTAAACCTTCGTTTATGGTTTCGTTCAAGATATTTTTAAAAAAAGAAGCTTTTTTTGATGTTTTGGTGACTTGGTGGTATTGATGAGAGACATTTTTATCAGTGTTATCATGTTTAGACTCAAAGAGTGTTGTCCTTAAAGAATAAAATATAATAATCAGTTGTATGAAAAATAAATGGGAAATGGTTTGATATACAAAATGCATTTAAAATTGAAGGGGTAGATGGGATATAAAGTTAAAGATGTTGTTCATGAAGTAAAATATGAGGAAGGGCTTCAGTATCGAGCGACCACCCCAACAAACACATTAAAGAAGAGACTTAACCAAAACTAACCCTAGCCCATAGTGGCCAACCGATACTACTATAAAATCATAACTGTTACGATTTCACCTTCCAGGGAAAAAAGAAATTGTCAGCACTTTAAAGCCTCGTCCCTGGAAAATTTTTTTCGGCACTTTAAAGCCTCAAAATCGGGTGGCAAGAGATCTAGGGTTCTGATTTTTTTTGTTGTATTCTCCATCCGGGTCATAGGTCAACGAAAGTTTGAATGAATAGCCTAATGGCGGGTAGATGAGCTGTTGGTTCTGAATTTGAACAACGAAGACTTTCGCATGCTGTTTGCTAGATCTAGATCTTTCGAGTCTGATATACTATTAGATTCAATAACATGGAGCTCAAGCAAGCGAAATCTAATCGCAAAGTGATGTTTTCAGCGAAATATTCTGAGGAGTTTCCTTTTATTTCTTTGTCAACTATGTTGATTCTCAATGCTTTCTGCAAACCAAGCCGAAACACTAGATCTAGTATTAATATTATTTCTCTATTTTAATACGCTATTCCGCTATTCATGGTATGGTGTGACTAGTGAATATTGAATAGTTGTGAATACTTACGTTTTATAGCTCTTGTGGGCTCTACTTTACTCTGTTTAGTAATCTTCTAGTTCAGAGTATTGTTGTATGTATCTGAATGATTTTAGGAATAATATTTATGCTCTAATTTTACTATAGGTTGAGAAAAACGAGATGAAAATCCATCTTCCATAAAAATCACACATTTTAATGGCTCTGCCACACTTTAAATAGCTGTGAATAGCGCATAATCATGAATGTTAAATAGTAAAGTTGAATGGGCGCGTCAACTGTTCGGTTGGGTATTTATTTGCTTTTGTCAGTTTTCATCAGCTCAAACGAATTTGTCTGGTTAATTCAATAACATAAAATATGAAATGAGCTTAAATTGAGAGTTCCAAAGCTTTCTACTTCTACATCCATGTTTGAATTCATAGTCATGCTAATCAGTAGTTCTTTTATTTCTGCAGATATGCTAATTGTATTTTTCTCTTTGTTTTCTTTCGCAGAGGCATCTGATCCAGGTGAGTCTGCTCTCGGTGAGATATATATTTTTTTTTACTTTTAAGTAATATTTAACTAGAGCCAGTGGTTTATTGGATAAGACAGAAATGTTTGACATTGAATGTTTTGTATTTTATACTAAGTGAAAATGGTTGCAACCGAAAGCCATGTCTGTGAATTTTATTTTTGATGGATAAACTGGAAATAAACTATAGATTTTGAATGCTCCATAACTTACTTTTGTCTTCACTGTAAGTTAGGATTGTAATTTCTATTTTTAAAAACTGAGGCTTACAATTGTAACACCATGAATGATGATCTGAACATAGGATATGAAATTATTCTTTAATAATAATAAAAATAATACACAACATTTTTTATATAACGCATTTCCCAAAAAGTAGCTCAATGCGCTTTAATAATTTTTGCTTGAAATCTTTTGTTCTGGTAGTTCATTAAAGACAGCATTGTTTAGGGATTTTGTTTCATTTAAGGAACTCCTGTCTTATTGAGTCCTGTGACTTTGGCGGAGATTAGAATTCTGCATCGACATTACGCGCACTTGGCAATCATCAAGTCTTGTTACTTTCGCCATTTTCCCTCTTGTCCTATGGTTCAGCTGTTCAGGAAGTCCTACCTCTATAGATAAAAAAAATCTGAATATTTGTCGAAAATCACGAACATATTTTTAAATTTTAACAATGTGCTTGTCATCCGTTTCAGGTGGAGCTGCGGAGCAGGAGTTGGCCACTCGGACTCTTCACATTCAGTCCAAGCGATTCTATCTGGATGTGAAGCAGAACAGGCGAGGCCGCTTTATCAAAGTGGCAGAAGTGAGTATTCATCTAACACTATTTTCTTCTCTGTTCACGAGCTTCGTGCTAGAAAGCTTTATCGTATCTTCGTCTTGTACTTCATGAAAGGCTTGAAAGGTTTTGGCCAATTTGTAAACAAGGACTTAGAAAAGTAATATACCTTACCAGCATCTCAGCTCAAAGCTGCTGCTAATGAATTAATTTTTGTGTGTTTTGCAAAACTTGTCTTGTTGTCCTTCTGCAGCAAGAGGAATCTCTTTTTTTGTTACGTTAATCAGGGTGACTGCCAGGCCCTTGGAATCTTGGAGGGGGGATTTGAAAAAAATCGCAGAGACCCGGGAATTTGAGGAAATCCTTAAATTGCCCTGGGAAGGACCTGGGAAAGACCTGGGAAAATGCATAAAAGTTCTCGGATATTTGAAAAGCAAATCCGATAACATCCTTCAGTTCATTTTTGCAGGTCGCGATTGTGGTATTCATTCAGCTTTTCTGGGTCGGAGAGTATGTTTCACACGAATAAGCGGCTAGGGTGACAAGCGGAAATGTTTGTGTGATATCGAGGCTTGATCGGGAAAATCAAGATCTACGTTCACTTTCGTTACCACACAGAAATTTGCTGAGTCTGATACATTTGTAACATGCAGGTTGAGCATTACAAACGCTGTGTCGCCATGAAATAAATCAATATTTGTCCTGTACTGTCACTTTTGAAAAAAACAAAGAAGAAAAGAAAGTTATACAAGCGTCTTGTCGGGTTTGACATTGTGATCGGTCAGTGAACCTGCATGTTCCCTTCACTTTGTTGTAAGTACTGGCGATTGTTGGCAGTGCTTCCACTCTTCCGTATTTTTACGGAAATCCGTACTTTCTGCCAGTTCCGTACTTGTCCCTCCATCATTATCTACTCCCTCCGTAAAAAAAACTGCGACAGTGCAGGACTGTGGAAATTCCGTACTCGCCTTCGTATCGTCTTGTATAAGGTACGGATATTTACGGTAATTCTCTCGGCAACAAGTTAACGTTATAGAAACCTGCCAAATTGCGCATTTCCTGCAATCGGACATTATACCGCAATGTCCCAGTCCCATGCATTCATTGCGTGTTGGTCGGCAGTACTTTTTTTACCTGCAGATGGATCAAAACCTTGCGAACCTTTTGTGCCAACTTCCTCCTTTCTGTCATTCACTCATTCCTGTCATTCACTCATTCCTCCTGTCTATCTTCGGATTGTTGCCACAACCGTATTTTGAAGGTACATCTATTCATTATTCCCAGGTTTGCCTGCTGTCAATGGTGCGACTACAAATTAATTGAATTATAGTAGCAATGAAAGGGGAACCTGCTTTTAAACATTTCCAGCATTGGAAAGATATGCTGGCGATGAAGTCAAACAAGACAAAATGTGAAAAAATAAATATTATGGGCTGTAGGCAATATCTTCAAACAGGCTCCCAAATGCCATTTTCTACCCTCTAAAAGCACTAAATTTCAATTTCTTCGGGGGTTTCGCCCCCTGAACCCCCACCGGGGCGCTGTCCCTGGACCCTGCTGGGGGCCTCTGCGGCCCCCAGACCCCCTGCAGAATTTTCCTTACTTTTCAGATTCAGCTGGTGGAAGCACTGGTTGGGGTCACCAAAGTTCATTCGCAGTCTGAGCGCTGTGAAGTATAGGACTCTGAAATTGGGGGAATTATTGATTATTAATTATAAAGATACCCTCGGGGGAGGAAGGAGGAGGGGTGGTTGTTGAAAGCAACACCAGAGGACAATAACTGAACTTGGAAGCAAATTTTAGTATTTAGAATTGGGTGTTTTTAAGGACAAGTGGGCTATCCAGAAAAATGCTGTTTTGAGAAAATCAAAGGTAAAGTTTTTGTCCCTTGTTCATTTTCATTAAAAAACAAGGAGAGTTTTCTCTACAACTAAACAAATATTCACACCAGTGAAACCAAGTTTCTCCTATAGGTAGGGCAATGCCCACTCTTGGTGTAGGTCAAGATTTCTGGAAAGCCCCGAAATCTGGGTTAGCCCGCTTGTCCTTAAAAGCGACCAATTGTGATTACTACTAGAGCTCTTTGTAAAGCGGGCGTTGATGCAGACCTTGTGTAGAATCGGGATCCGCCATATCTTGCAAGCCGTGTTTTTTAACTTAAAGAGTTCGCACTTCATTGGATGGGTGATTGTAAATTATATCTAGGCCTATATTTTAGCTTTCTGTTCAAGATATGCAGATTTTCAATGTCACTGCATCGTGCCCTCCCATAGTTCTTACAACTCTCACTCTGAATAGGTCTACATGAGTCATTCAAGTTATTACTCTACTTTGAGTTTGAGCAATAACTTTTGCCTTTCAAGTTTATTATATTATGAATCATGACACCCAGACTGGTTCTTGACAGTCGATATTCTGGTTCTAGACCTTTCTCAGGCTCAAAACAGAATTCATTATATATAGATTATATAGGAGAATATGACGAGCGGAAAATATCCATCAGTAAAAACAGACTGAGATACCAAAGTCGTACAAGACCCCATGCCACTGACAGAAGTGTCTTTAGGCCATTCCCAAAGGGGGGACATTTCTCGTTCTAATGCACAGTAGAATTGTAAATGGGCTGATCCAACAATGTCATGCTCATAACTGCCTGAACTACAACAGGGAACTGCTGTTTTTTCTTTCCTTATCCTTACTATTGTCATTTTTTCCTCAACTTCTTTTGTATGTTTGTCACTCTCATGTGACCTGCTATTTCCGGGGTGCCTTGATAGTCGAAGCAAACTTTGTGCTATTGAGGCTAGAGAGGTGAGCAGAGTAAGTCTGATCCCTGTAAGGACTTCTCTTTTGACATCCACCCCATGGTGCTCATATGACCTTATGCAGTTGCGAGTGCCATAAAACCTCTAGATACTAAAACAAAAATGATGCAGCTTGTGATCAAGTTTTTTAAAAAATTGCCAATTTTGTACCATTCATCAATATATGCCTTCATTGTCTTATGGCACATGTTGGTCATAAATTTAATCGTGTCGAGACATACACATAGATTAGTTAATCATTTTGTAAAGACCAGGAAGTGTTTTTGGATGGAGTGGGTTCAAGTACAGCCAGCTCTGATCTGAATGCTTCCTTTGTTTAGAGGTTCCTAACGTTGTAATAATTTATCCTCTGTAGTTTTTATGATTTCCCAAAGTATTCTGTCAGGAAAGTCCCAGTTTTTATTGAAAGTGTCTCTTTTTAGCAGCAAGAGTTGCTGCACACTACTTTCCTCTTTAAACACTGCCTTCCTCTTTATTTGATGCAGAATAAATTATTTTCATTGGTGTCAGTCAGCTTATTCCTACAGTTCTGCCTAAACTCTGAAACTTGTTCCCCCAAGCAATATTTATTATTTCGCTCCTTTCTCTTGTTTACCAGGTGGGAGCAGGAGGGAAGAAGAGTCGCCTCCTTCTGGCCATGTCGTCGGCCGCGGAGTTCCGGGACTTCCTGTCTGATTTCTCCGAGCACTACTCGAGGCTAGGTGAGCACAGTGAGTTTTCGTTCCCACCGGATCACCGACATCTCCTGTCACCGGCTTGTGGCCAGGCCCGGCACTTGCTCTGCCTGCCAGTTTGGCCTACCATTGCAGTACTGACCACACACACCCTACATTTTGATCATACCTTTATTAACATTTTAAAAAGTTTTTGCTTGTTTAGATTTGCCATTCTGATAGGTTGTTATTTTGATCTTTTGATCTCTTGGGCTTTGCACAGAATCATAGAATGAAATTGAGTTTGGAACAAAGCTTTAGTGTGTGTGTGTGTGATGTTTGTGGCTGTGAGCACTGTGTAGTCAGGTGTTTGTTGGTGTAACACAGGGTTCCCGCGGCCTCCTTGAATTCAAGGAGTCCTTGAAAACTGCTTGAATTTGCATTCAAGGAAAAATCTCCTTGAAAACTCCTTGAATTTGCCTTCAAGGAAAAATCTCCTTGAAAACTCCTTGAATTTTGCCAGATCGGACAGGAACACGTGAACAGGGTGACTGCCAGGCCCCGGGAATCCCGGGGGCCCCTGTAATCACCCAGGAATTTGGAAAAAAATCGCTGAGATCCGGAATGCAACGGGAATTTGAAGAAATCTGTAAATTGCCCCGTGAAAGACCCGCGGAAATACATAAAAGTTCTAGAATATATTTGAAAACCAAATCCGATAACGTCCTTGAGTTCATTTAGGCCGGTCGCGATTGTGATATAATATTTATTCGGCCTTTCCCGGCCTGAGAGTACGTTACACGCGCACATGCGGTAAGGCGGCAACAAGTGGAAGTATGTGCGATACCGGAGCTCGATCGGGAAAATCAAGATCTACTTTCGCTTTCGTTACCACCCAGAAATTTGCCGGTAGGGCCTATAGTAGTCTGATAACGCCACATTTGTAACATGCAGGCTCTGCATTACAAACGCTGTGTCGCCCATGAAAATAAATCGTTTGTCCTGTGCTGTCACTTGTGTGAAAAAAACAAAAGAAAAAGAAAGTTATACAAGCTTCTTGTCGGGCTCGCCATCGTGACCGGTCATTGAACCTGTGGGTTTTCGTCACATCGTGAGTATCGGCGATGGTTGAGGTCACCAAAGTTCATGCAAAGTTTGAGCGCTGCGAAGTATAGGACTCGGGAATGGGAGGATTATTGATTTTTTTTAAAAACCACACGCGGGGGGGGGGGCTGGAGGTTGAAGGCAACACCGGATGACAACAAAACTGAACTTGGAAGTTGGTAGATCTCTTAGATCTCTCTCTGCAAAGGGCGCGTTGATGCACAGTCCTAGTGTGAAATCGGGATCCACCATACTCAAACCGTCTAAGCCGTGTTCTTTTTACTAAAGGGTTCCCCGTTTCATTGCGTAGGTGATAGTAAATTATATTTATTGTATATTTTAGCTTTCTGTTCAAGATTCGCAGATTTTCAGTGTCACTGCTTCTTGCCCTCCGACAGTTCTTACACCTCTCGCTCTGAATAGTCTACTTGAGCCATTCATGTTATTACTCTACTTTGAGCTAGAGTAATGATTTTTGTCTTTCACGTTTATTATTTAAACCTTGACACCCCAACTGGTTCTTGACAGTGGATATTCTGGTTCTAGGCCTTTTCTCAGGCTCAAAGCTAGATTCATTTTTATATAGTTTATATAAGCGAATATGATGAGGGGAAAATATAAATAAGTTAGAACAGACTGAAAAACTTAAGTCACAGTATCCCAGTGCACAGTATCCCAGTGCCACACTGACATGTTGTTGACTGGATTCAATGTACCACATGCGCGTGTGTGTATATATTATTATATAATATATAAATGGAGCATGCACTGTCGTTGTTATGTAACATGCCCCTGGAGAATGGATGAGACCCCCCCCCCGAAAATTGAGAAGCCGGGTTGGCAGTCACCGTGGGAACAGTTTTTCTAGGAAAATCGAAACTATGAATATGATATGCTTCCTTTCGGACTAGTGTTTTTAAAAAAATAGGCTTTCGTCATAAATTTCTTAACCAAATCTCCTTGAATTTTAAAAATTTCTCCTCGAAACCTCCTTGAAAACTCCTTGAATTTGATGGAGAGTTCATGGCAGGAACCCTGGTAACAGTTTAGGCTCTTTGTCATGGCACTCTGAAGGTGTGAGTCCTTTTCCTATGTGGGGAGGTTTTTATTAAATCGTGTATCGCCGTTTGTCTGCTGGGATGACATATATCCCTTTCAGGTCATGAAGCACTTACAGTTATTGCACTGTGAAGTGCACTTGAGTAGAGAAAGAAGTAAATTGAAGTTGTCAAGAGATGTTTTATGGTAAACTTAAATGTGTATGGGGTCAATCAAGTTGTGTCTGAAGAAGAGTACTTTAATAATTTCTATGGTTGCTGAGATCTTGGCTCAGACTACGATTGAGTTTTAAAGACTTGATCCATTGGTAAATTGTGATTCGGTGGCACAGCTGATAGTTTCTCCAGATTTTAGGTTGTGTTGGGTTACTGAATTTGAAATATTTGTTGATACACTTTTTACTTAGTCTTGTTGAAACAGACTTTGTAGGTGGGAGGTCTTTTGGTTTTGGTTTTTAAAAAAAAAGGTAGAATTCCAAGCTTTCCACTGTTTCCTGATCCTGAAAGACATTACCAGATTCACTGTGACTCCCACGGTGACCCTGAACCTATGTAGTAGGAGGTTGAAGTTTACTTCTTTTCTACTCTAGCCCGGGTTGGCTCGGACAGACAAATTTGAATGTCTGCCTCCTGAATGATCTAAATTGTGTCAATGGGGTGTAATCCATTTATAATTACAAATACAAGAAACTTCTAGTTCCCTCAGGACCCAGTTGTTGTGACATGGTGTACTTGCATCCTCCTCAGGTCCCACTAACTCAGAGACTCCACCAGAGGACGGGAAATTGAAGAGTGAGATCATCGTCAAAGACAACAGACGTTACTACCTGGACCTGAAGGAGAATCAGAGGGGCCGCTTTCTGCGAGTAGGTGTCTCTTTCTGTCTTGTCTTTTTCCTTGTAGATATCTGATGATGAAGGTTGTGGATGAATGTTTCTTTTTTGTTAATAAAAATAAGTTGCTTAGTAGATTGACAAAAGGCTTTTTTTTGTGTGTGTTTGTTTTTTGCCATTGTGGCAAATGCTAGATAATCTGTTCATACAATATCTGGAAAGATTGAAGCTTTTTTTTCTTCAAAGATATTTGCAGTTTTGCTTCACAGATTTTTTAAAGTGCTTGTATTTGTTCAAAATGAAGTTTTACTTTGTAGACATGTTCTTGATGGATGGTCTGTCCCTCGTACTGCTGAAATAGTAACAAAAATACAATAGTACATTGATGTAATGTAATAAAACGTTTGGGTAAAGTCCTTGAAGTTCTGAGAGTTTTGCCAGCATGAGGTGAGACTTTTAAGTGTGATGATGATGACCCAAGTATTGATTGAACATTGTGGCCATTTTGATTTTGTTCCCATGGCTTTTGATTGATGATGTGGTTTGGAACTTACATACAGAATTTGGAAGTTATTTAAAATGGAGTCTTCAAAATGGGAATGTTGGTTAGGATTTCTTCTTCTTATGATTTTGTAAACATACAACTCAAGGTAGTCGCTGTTTTACAACAACCGAAAAAAATAATGTGATGTTTCTTAGTTAGTATTTGTGTATGATGAATGGGATGATCTGAATTTGTTTCAGTCCTGTGCTTGATTGTAACATGTTTTCATAATTGTTTTGATGTATTATTTTCTCACGATTGTTTTGATGTATTTTTGTTTTCTCATTTTCAATTTCATTTCTCATCTCATGTTCCTTCACACCTTGCTGACCGTCAGGTTTCTGAACAGGTGTCGCAGACCATCCCCCGCGGCGGACCTCGCTCACAGATTGCCATCCCGGCACAGGGCATGATCGAGTTCCGTGATGCTCTCACTGAACTGCTGGAGGAATTTGGCACAGACGACCAAGGTAAGGGAGTGAGAAATGGAGTAGTTATTGCATGGATTGAACCTGTTATTGCAGGGAGAGAGTCAGACAATGCTGGAAAAAATATGGTCAGCATTAATATTCCACAAGTGCTGAAGTCATTATTTGATGTGTTGAGAAAATTAAAGAAAAAGATAGTGCCCAAATCAGGACAGCGACTTGGGCAAATGAAAACCAGGAAGGTAATGTTGAAACAAGGAATGCATATTGTGAGGTGCTCCATAATGTGTTAATTTGAATTACAGCTTTATCTTGAAACCCCTAGAAGTTGACTTGGGCTGTTGTGGAATGATGATGACAATATTCCCTCTTCGAGATATTACAAGTTGTAGATAGGTCTCTCTGACTCGAGTCCAGGAGATTGGAGGGGGGGGGGTGTTGGGTAGGGGGAGGTGCTAAACGACACTGAAACTGGGAAAGGGGTACTTGACAGTGGGATGGGCAATGCTTTTACGTTTCATTTTCAGTTTTTGCTGTGTTAAATGAACATGTTTGCTATATTCACGTTTGTTGTTCCTGTGAACTTGCATATAGCATGCAGTATGATGGTAATAAGAATGAAAGTGAAGGCAGCTTGTAGATTTTTAGGCAGACAAAAAATGTGACTGAATCCTATTTTTTATTTTGGGAAAAGATATATCTCTAGCCTTGTATGTGCTTGGCTAGGAAAGATTAGTAACTGTCTACCATCATCTTGTTGTAAGGATTTTGGCAGGTGTTTGTTAGGCACTCTTTTGGGTATTATATTCCTAATCTGTCTCAGGCGATATGTGATTACGTTACTGTGCTGACTAGTGGTAACATATGATTCAACTTCAGGGACTTAAGTGTTTACTGTGTGGTTGATCATGGCAAAGTTCAGTAGTTTGCAAGATATTAAGTGTTAAGTGGTTTAGCGGGTGGTTTAATAGAGTAAAGAGAAAGTGCGAGATCTGATGGACAGAACATTTGCAATGCTATTGTAGATGTTTGTGTGTTATGAGATTGTTATTGTGTGTTTCAGTTGTGTGAAGTCTGACAGCAGGTTATTGTTTCTTTGTGATATGTTATAGTAGTGTGAAGTCATTGTTGTGTGTTAAGAGGTTTAGAGGCTAACGGAGTCAGCAATGTCTTTGTTGCGCTTATCCGTGATCTCAAGAACAGAGTGCTTCTTACCAGGGTCACTGCCTCCTACACCAGTGAGGCATAAGTGTGAAGCAGTCCAATCTCCCTTTGGCCATTGACTGAAGTGTCTTTAGGCCATTCCCTAAGGGAGGATACATGTATTAACATGTTCTTATGCTCAGTAGAATTGTAAATGGGCAGATTTATCTAGGTCATGCTCATACTGTACCGGAACAACATTGGGGGAACTGCAGCTTTTTCTTTTCTCATCCTTACTATTGTCATTTCCTCTACTTTTTAAAATGTTTGTCACTCTCTTGTGAACTGCTATTTCCGGGTTGCCTTGATAGTTGAAGCAGACTTTGTGCTTTTGAGGCTAGAGAGGTGAGATGAGTAAGCCTGATTCCCTGTTTGGACTTCTCTGTTGACATCCACCCCTTGGCGCTCATATGACCAACCTTATGCAATTGCGAACGCTGTAAAACCTTACTAGAACTAACTTAACGTTATTGTGTGTATTATTGTAGTGTCAGGTAATTATTACCTGTGTGTTATTATTCTAATCTGTAGTCATAATTATTGTGCGTGTTATTGTAGTGTGAGGTTGTTATTGTGTAGCCTGACCAGTGGTTGTTGTCGCACGTGTCCGCAGAGCCACAGAACGAGCTGCCCGAGAGCCGTTCCATGCGAGTGGAAAACAAAATGTTTTACTTTGACGTGGGCTCCAACCGCAGGGGTGTCTACCTGCGCGTCTCGGAGGTGAGTGTGAGTATTCCCTTTTTTCACTTCTCTTTGGTTGTGTTTGTGTGTGTTTGTTGGCTAAGCTCACCGAGGACAAATAACGCTCTTGTGTCGTTTTCTGAAGTGACAGACTGAAGTTAATAATCATAAATGTGCGATTCTACGTTCAAAATTTTGTTGTTGTGAGGCTATGAGAAATATGTGATATTAGTTGACTGAAGTATTTAAATAAACCCTTGCGCTTTTTAATGGTATTGATATTAGTTTTTTGTGAATTTTTAACAGCGGCATCCTAGGGTAAAGTTTTCTCGATTTCGGGGATTTCAGTAAATGAACTATAGCATGGTCAAAAATTTGTGGCTCAACCTCATGTCAAGATCCAATCAATGAGTTGATCTTCCATAATCTTCCAACTTAGAACACAACATGTGCCCCTCAATCAACAGCTCAACCAAATTGGAGTAAAGCAGTTTGCTAGGTGACTACCCCTCAGAGATAGTGGAACATCATCTGTTCTTCTGTAGAAAACTAACCGATTAAAGGTTATCAGACATAGACTCTCCAGCTTTTGCACAATGACCTATATCAATTTTTGTAAACTCCTGTTAGCTGTATTATAGAAAATTCCCTACTTAATACCAATAAATAAATCCAAGTAAGATGTTTCTACAGATTTTAAAAGGTTTACAGCTGGGCAATATTGCTTTTAAAAGCAAGTCCGTCATGTTTTTGTAATTGTGACATTATGCTTATTGAACAAGTTTTTAGAACATTTAGTGCAAAAAAAGTGTTTAACATAAAATGTATTTCTTGTAACAAGTTTTGCCACTAAAAAGTGTCATTGGTGAGCTGTGAGGTAGGCCATACACTTATGCAAAATGTGTATGAAAAGTGGGAAGTCTTGTGAACAAACCCATATACCGCGTGACGGAGATTTATAGTATTATATATGAATTTATGGAGAAAATTGTTTAAATCTAGCCTCAATTGTTGTGGAAAAATATGATTAAGTTAAGACAAATTGATGCAAACTGCTGTGCAAAGTATGGGGACATTCATTCACCCGTTAAAGAGATATTTGAGTAGAAGTAGCTCCACATATTTTTGACCACACCGTACCTGTTGTTTTGTTATGTCAATAGTGGCATGCTGTTGTCTGTAATGAGCTCAAAATAAAGCAATTTACTTGCTTTTGAGGCAACTAATGAATCTGGTAGTCTGGATTGGTCTAAAAACTGTATGATTCAGATGAAAATAAAGAATTTGTGCCACCCAAAAGAGAAATGTGCATCCAAATGCAGCACAAGTGAAGGTTGTTCTTTGCTCTCAATTTTTGGCATTGTTCCAACTGTAATAGACTTACACCATTGGTGTCGCGATGTGGCGGAATTGGGCACTCGCCAATTTTTAGGCATATGAAATTACTGGTATTGTCTGAAAGCTTATTCGTTTGCCTTGCTTTCAATGACCCCCCCTACCCCAAATCTATCTTGAATAAAATCCTAGCCAAAGTTAGGTAACTCTAAAATCGCAATTTCTGCCTTTAATCAACGTTTTGCTGTAAACTACACCTGGAAATGTGTTTTTATATAGACATAAAATGGGTTTAGCCAAAAGCAAAAATTTGATCATAATTGCCTAACTGGCGGAAGAATGCCTGTTTCTTCGCTTTGTTACTTTGATGCACGTCTGATTTTATTGCGATTCCTCACATTTAGTACTGTTTCATTTATTTAGTTTCTTTATTGAAAGAGTACCCCACGATACATAATATTCCAAAATTGAGTGAATTGGTTCATAGATAAATGGGTTACAATTTTTAAAAATATTTTTAAAAGACCCTATTTTTACTGGGTTCATGGAAATATTATATCACTTAGGCTTTGGCACTCTGATATTTTAATACTGTGATTTTGGCAATGTATTGGCAGAAAAAGGCTTTTTTTCCAAGCATAGAAGTTGTGGGTCTCTGTCAAGTGTAAATTTGCCCAAAAAAGAAATAGCAAGCATGCTGTAATAGCTCTTAAATTTCAATATGTTAATTGAGGTAAAAAAAAAAAAAGGTTGTCAGTTTTTATGTGTCAAAATCAGGTTTTAAAAATATTGAGTATTTTGTCTTTGATGCCATGAAAATGTATACAAGATTGGTAAAAGTAAAGCATGACTTCTCGTTTCACAACAATCACAGACAGCTGTTTTCTCTTCCTGTAAAACATAGCACCAACCCCACAGTGACCCAGACTTGTGCACAAGTTCAAGCAAGTTTGAAATGGAGGTGGGGTGCAGCTTCAGTTTTACCAGAGTTTCGCGACTTGTGCAGACGTCCCAAGGGGATGATCTCACCTCTTTAGATTAAAAGATTTACGGTCAAGTCGGCTTAAATCGAAATTGTTCGATCCAAAAACAGTGGTGAACCAAAAGTAAATAGAATCCTCGTTATATTTTCACGCTGTTTTAGCAATCTCTTTTAACAGAAATCATGATTGAACCGAAGCTATTCTAGTGGTCCCGCAGCTTTCGGATTAAGCGGATTCCACTGCATTTCTTGTCAGTGTGGTGTTAGATGGTATTCTCCTTGTAGTCCAATGCATTCATGCTCTTGGTAGAGTGTATCCTGCTGTAGCCTACCATGTCTGCAGTCTTTATATTCTTACTGTGCCTTTCTTTGTATGTGATTCTTTCCAGGTGAGGAACAACTTCCGCACGGCCATCACCATTCCAGAGCGCTCGTGGGGTCGGTTCCGGGACATCATCTCCGAGTTTGTTGACAAGGCGAGTACAAAGCCTGAGGGAGAGTAGGCGGGCCACCCGTGTGTCGCCTGTGATATATCTCACTCCCAGCAGTTTTAGCGATGTTGTGCAGAGGAAATGTGCTTCTTTGCCAGACTGGCAGACGAGCGGGGAGGCCTTCTGGTGGTCGTGGGAGCACGCGAGAGAAAGAGAGCGATTGTTATGGATGTGTTGTGTCCTGCGTGAACGGAGCAGACCAAGATGGAATAATGATGATCTTGATGATGATAATAATAATGATGATGATGATGAAAGCTTAAATGTTTTTGCGGGTACTTTGGGTGGAGGAGGGCAAGGGGGTATTGCCTATTGTCTGTGTGAGTTTTGAGTGGCGTGTGCATCTATGGCACACACCCAGATGGGGGAATCATAGCTGTTTATGGAAATGACGTTTTGTTTTTCCTCAATTTTTTTTTGTTATGTTCTTCGTATGTGGGCATATGAGTGATGTATTTTACCACCCTGGAATCACAAGATGAATTTGAATTTGCTTGCCCTAAGGCAGATTGAATTTTATTTGGAAGCTTGACAGAAAGAAAGGGTAGCTTTGTCTTCAGCCCGTCCCTGTGAAAAAATTGCCTCTACGTGCACAATCTGTTGTAGCATGAGGTCTTGAGCATGGCAGGCAGAACTCTGTGCTGATTTCTCTCTCTCTCCCCCCTACTCTACCCTACCCTTGAGGCTGGGCTGTAAAGAGAGAGAGGGGGGAGCCAGGCCGTGGCTCCTGGCCATCGCCTTCAGACTTCCTGTTGGGCAGCCAGCCAGCCGGGGCCGACGCTATGCACTAATGAGAAACCCTGTGCCATGACTGTTGCGAGGGGTTGAGAACCCATCTTCCCCCCCTCCTCCCCCATTACAGACCTGAATGTAGGTCTAGTGCATCTGCTCAGTGAGTGAGTACACTCACACTCCCAGGTGTGCGTGTTAGACTTCATTGGTGCTAATCATTTTTATACCAAGCATTTTTTAAATCAATCAACCACACGTTTGTGTGGGAGGCACTGGCAGAGGGTTGTTGCCCTCTGGCTTAGAAAAAAATCAAAAATGAGAAACAGCGAGCTGACAATGTGTAGCGTTTAATAGTCAAAGAGAGCTAGTGGTAAAATTTAATAGTCGTCTGTAAAAACGAAATATTTTATTGTAGGTAGGAAGGCTTGACTAACAGTGCCTTGCAGCAAGAGATATAACACCATGCTGCTTGGTTTCCTAGAAGTGAGAAAGAATCTTTTCGAAAAACATGAGCACATGTAGCCCGTATTTTATTAATGGCGGACGTCCATGTTGCAGCGCCCTGGACATTTTGGCAAATACTCAGAAGACCCCCGTTATCAGGCAATCAAGCTAGTTTTTTAAAACTTCACTAACACAATATGTGCTGTGGAGGCACATCTTTTTTGCCTTTGTTTGTCCTATTTGTGTGTGCGTATGTATATTTGTGTGTGTGGCTTGTGTTGGCTGTAGTGTGCACAAGATGTTTGAATTACTGTTGTGTCCCAGGTGTGTTGGTGTCAGCCTGACAGACGTCTCGGGCGCTGCTGCTCTTGTCAGCACCACTGGCTGAGGTTCTGGTGGTTGATGTGACACTTGTTTTTTCGTACTATGTGTTAACCTTAAGATTTTGCGAGGATATTGTTTCTGAACATTCAAAAGTTTGCTAGGATATTGTTTCTAAATTTTAGTGGGTTTTTGTTTTACATTTTGAATTTTAAAAAACTTACGTTGGTTTTGATGTAGATCTTGGGTTTTCTTTTGGGCAGCCTGGGTGTGGAACCCTCTGTTCTTCTCTTCCTGACATGCTGGTGAAGACAGGACTACTCCCTGGTTGGGTGAAAAGAAAAAATGAGCCATGTTGTTCTTTTTCGATTGTTCGAAGTGAAAGAACCATAGAGGTACTTTTGAGTAAGGAAAATCAAAAAGAAAAAAAAAAGTGTGTCACTTTTCTGAGAGTTGATTCTTTGTTTTTAGTGGATATTTTATGGAAAGGGCTCGCGTGAGTTGCGTACCCATGCCCTTAGAGCAAAAGGCTGGGAATTATTTCTAAGGAATAAATAATATGAGATTATTGAAGGTATTGTGATAATATCTTTTATTTCTTGTGTGAGTTTTTGTGCTCAGTTTGTCTCTTTCACTGTTTTCACATGTTACCAATGTGTAGTGTATTAGTTCAAACAGAAACTGCCAGTTATTGTCCTTGTTTACTTCATTGAATTGAATAAACACAGTAAGAAACTAGAAGTTGTAACTTGTATTCACTGGAAGTATTCCTTTTTTTATACATATAGTGTGATCAACCTCATAGTGTGTAAATTAATTATTATGGAGTTTGGATGTAAATGTTTGAAAAGTGAGAATACACTTGACAGAAGCAATGTTCCTTGTTGTTGCTTTGAATTGTTGCCATTGTATTTTCTTCTTGTGTGTGTTTGCTCTGTGGAGAGAATGGTGTGTTTCATGATTTCATGGTTTTACATTATTCTGTATTGTGGTAATTTTGTTCCCTAGGAGAAAGATGTAGGTGGTCGCTCATATGTAGACCTGCCCACTAACTCTCTGTGTTTGGGAATTGCAGGCTCTTGTTCATCATCAACATCATTTGGGTCCTTTTTATGTCCTCTGTAGAGTTTTGTGTAGAGATACGTGTTTTTAAGGGGCCTTTTTTTCTTCTTGTAAGTGGATTAGGATTTGAACAGAACTGACAATTTGGTAATTTTGATGGGTTTTGGCTCTAAAATGTTTGACAAGGACTAGAATGTAGTTTGAAGATGGGTGACTGTCAAGAGATTTGAGAAACATAGAGGGGATTTCAGTGGGTTGTACTCTGTAATGTCTTTTCGGTTGTTCTATTTTTGCATTGTAAAAGATTCACCATGTCGGAGGTGACTTCCAATACTAATGAATTCTGCTATTTCTGCTCGCCAAAGGGGGCTCATTGTGCGTTCGTACGTCTTTTGTATGGCAGTTGATGCAGAGAGAGAGAGAGGGAGATAGGGGGAAAAAATCTTGCTGCGTGTTGATTTGACTGACATGGAATTGGGTCAGGTTTAGCAAATCGTGCAAGTTCTGTCATCAGCTCAGGGATGGGCATTCCACTGATTTTAACGGTATGTTTCGTGTTAGATGTCCCGTGTTTCTATAGCTGCCTGTTGATGAAGGTGATTGGAACTGTGTTGTTGTATAATTTCATACAAATCAAAGGAGTAGAGTTCCCTTCTTGAAGCAGTGGCTGGGGAATTGTCGGAGAATTTTGCCCGTCCCTGATGCTGCTTCCCCTGTTGTTTCTGCTGTAAGGGAGGTAACGAGCGAGTAAAGAGTTGTTGTCGTCGTCGTCTGGGGGATTGTGTGAGCTGCGTATGGATTGTCGTGTCCTTGACCTTGGAGCCTGGCTCTATGTGAAGCACATTTTCCCTGCGTGTCAACGTCGCGTGTAACGGCGGACGACAAAAAAAACAAAACAAATGTTCTGATTATTGTCTGTACAGGAACTGGTTGGTGTGTATTATTCTCTGTAGTGTAATGGTTTCGCGGCCAAGCTCCGCGGCTTGTTGGGTTAGGGCTGTGGACTTTGGGGCCATGGGTGCGAACCCTGCCAGTGTGTCACCTGGATTTTGTATTGTCCTGTAACTTTTCTTCACGGAAGAGTTGTTGTAAAGGTTGGAACCATCAGTTATGATTTTTGGCCATAAACACTTGTATTTGGGTAACCTTGCAGAAATATCGAAGGCTTTGACAGAGAACTAGGAGTTTGTTTCGATAAATAGATTGCCCTGTGAGTTCAAGATTGTTGTGTGTCTAACCAAGGGATAGGAATTTTCATCAAGCATAAATTTCAGGTAAATGTGTATTTGGGAATTCAAACAACTGTCAAAATTAATAAATGGCAGAAACAGATGTTGAAGTGAAGACGGTTTCTGATACGACTTCTACTTGTGAAACATAAGTAAAATTAACATTTTTGGACCTATAGACTACATAATGATAATAATGACTTCAGAAATTGGTTTAGGTTGGGATTGCCTCTTGATCTGATCTATTTCATAGTAGTATGAGTATGATTATTTTTTTTTGGTAATTGGGGAAGTTTGTTTTATGTTTTGAGATGTAGGCTACAACTCGTTAGCTCTTCCTGATTAAGAAAATAACGTATGACAAGGCTGTGTTTATTGGAGAGAGTGGGTTTAGATTGGAAGATCTGTCACTCTGGCATCCTTTCCTCACTCGCGAAAAAATGATTCATTTATTAACCAACAACTGAAAAAGTATTAAAAATACTCTTTGCCCACAAATGATGAAACGAACAGCCATTGATAAAGCATGGGATAGGACTCTTTCACTGCCCACGAGTCGCGTGTTCTGCCCTCTGATATTGTCTGTTGTATGTAGTGGCAAGGGGCGTGTGTTTGCGCCGGGACTCGTCCTGTGTTCTGCACTTCCTGTACTACTGTAACCTCCTCCTTCGGTGTCCGTCTGGTGCCCTGTGTCCATGGAACTGCTCATACCGGGGAGTGGGGTCGACCCTCCCCCCGTATCGCAAATGGTTTTGTTGTTGTTGTTGTCATTTTCATTCTTCTCAGAAACCATTGAGTGAAATAGGCCGTTTGTTGGGGGAATTAATGAATTATTATCGAAGAATTTGTGTATTTAATTTTTTTCATTTTGTCACTTCTGTGAAATTGTTGTTACACGAATTTAATCTTGTTTCCTTTGACTTTCTTTTTGGTCTCAATCGACAGTGCAGTCTTTGTGATCTGTTCCTCAGACTTGTAGAAGTTGTCTCACACTATCTATTTTTCTCTCCCATATCATGCTTTCTTGCCAAGTCTCTCTCTCTCTCTTTCTCTCTCTCTCTCTGTCTCTCTCTGTCTCTCTCTCTCTGTCTCTCTCTCTCTCTCTCTCTCTCTCTCTTCACTCACACAAAGCTTCCCCTCTCTTCCCTTTCACACATTCACGCTCGCGCGCACAGACAAACATACGCACACGCACGCGCGCAGACACACACACACTCATATATGCATGCGCACGCATGCACGCACACACACACACACACCACATCCACACAAATGTCTGTTTCTCCCCCTATCATCACCACAAAGCAGCAAGTCACACGTCCTGTTAAGTTTGATTTTGTACCAGAAACCTCAGCCTGGTACTTTTGTTAGGAAATGTTTGAAGTAGAGAACCAGACGACCGTCCGCAGTCGGGATGACCAGGAGGGTCAAGGTCAGCTACACCACCTTGACTTTTTACTGTGATTCGTGATGCTTCTGCTCTTACATGTCATGTACATTTTCCAGTTTTTGCGTTTTTTGAGGTGAGGTTCATAGGGAAGAAAGATAGGTCGGCAGTGGAGTGGAGTGGAGTAAAAAAAGGAAGGATGTGTGAGAAGAAGGACGACAGTCTTGTATGTCGTTGCTGTCGCAAGAAGAGTGCTGCTCAGTTTGACTCTGCTTTGCTGAGGAAATAGAAAACTGAAGTTACTTTTTTGTTTTTTAATGGCGATGAAGAACTGCCTTTTGGAAAGGGAGGTCGCAGGTTGAAGTGGGAAATTTGGGTGAGGGAAGTAAGAAAGCATATGGGAAGAAAAAAAAAAAAGGTCTACGAGGGTGAGAGAAGAGTTTGACTTTTCTTGAACATCTTTGTTAATCTTTTTCATGGTGCAAGAAGGAACCCTGGTTTATTTTGCATTCATGAGGGAGGGGATTCCTGTGGGCTTTTTTTTTCTGACGCTTGTTCAATCTGAACATGATAGGGGCCACCTTGGAAATTTAAGTAAAACCCCTGAAACAAAGAGCCTGAGTTTCAATAAATTTTCTTTTTCTCATTTAGGGTTCACAGAAGACTCATTATGTTCGTCACTCTTAAAAAATGAGAACCGATTAAGGTTCTACTCTTAGGTAGAACCTACTCTTAGGTAGCAGGCCATGAGGCGAGAACATACATTTCAACTCTGCAAAGATTTTCTCAAACATTTGCCAAACATTGTCCAGTCATTTTTTCTACCAGGATTTTGCTCCTTCTCTTGTCATAGTTTTGTGCACTGTACAAAGTATTTCTGTGTTTTTTGGAGGTGAAGGGAGTGTTTTATTTTTGTATCACAATGGAACAAATTCTACACTGTTCTTAGAATGCTTTCAACTCATAACGATTTATTGATCATCGCTGTAGTTTGAGTTTTAGGTTTGATGTGAATCATTTTTATTTTCCTTGTTTCTTTTAAACTGAGGTATATATGAGAAAGTATTTTCGTGGTGTGGAGTGGACGGGAGGGGCTGAGGGGTCGACTTTGTCCCTTGATCCTCTCTGCACTGCGCTGCAGCTAGTGTGTGTGCGCGGCAGTGTGTCTGTGTGTTTGTGTGTGACAGTGTGTGTTTATGAACATGCTGGTGGTCCTGTGCCATTGTCACCACAGTTGGAAACCTCTTTCTCATATGACACCTTTTTTTTTCTGTTTTAAACATTTTTTAAAACTACGGTACAATTTTGACGAAGGGATTTGGGGGGTGGAAATGTTGTGTCCAGTATAATGGGTGTTTGCCATTGTTATAAAAATAAGCTTTTCTCCTAAGTTAAGTTTGTCGCTTTTGCTCTTTGAGTTTTTCTTTTATTGTGAGATCTCAGACTGAACGAGATGGAAGAAATAAACTGAAGTTATCTAAGAAAATTAATGCAGAGCAAGAAGTCAGTTTGAAAACATATTTTTTGTGGGCTGCAATGTTCTTTTAGAAGTAAAATTTGTAGAAAGTTTTTCCTCGGTACATTTAATTAAGAAACCCAAAAAACCTACCCTCCCTGCTCCATATAATTTGCACCATTTGTCAGAGGTTTTGAATTTATTTTACAGCCAGTTAGGCCTATTGCTCAGATTCATTTGGGGAGTAGGGAGTGATGGATGTTAGTTTTATGGAACAAATTATAAACCTGCCACATGTACCACTACTGTTCTCCACTAGTTGGCAGATCTATCTGCACATAAAGGGGTTGCCAGTCTGGTTGGTGTATTGCCTGCCATGAGGCAGCCATGTGGAAAGTGTTTGCGACATAAACCCGTCCTCAAGCATCAATGCGTGGTGTTGTTGTTGGCAGGTAGAGACTTGTGTCTCGTAGCTGGAGCAACGTTCGGCCGTTCATGTCATCAAGTTGTTTGGAGAGGCTGCCTGTACATTTTGCCGCTTTATTTTTCTGTTTGGATTGTATGGATAAAAGTGTTGTTGTGTTGCTCGTTTTTTTTAAAAACATAATTTTGTTTTGTTTGATAATGCCTAGTTTTGCTGTTGTTGATGAGGGTCGTCGTCAATGCTGATGATGGCTGTATTGATTTCTCATGTGCTGATTCCTACTAGCATGGTATTAAAAGTAGAGAGATTTATACTAACGTGTGACTTGGCGGGTGTGCGGAGGGTGACATGCTCTGTGTGTATCCTCACAGCAGCTGCAGGGTGCCTCTCGTCATACCGACTGTCGGTCGCACCGTTATTTCTCTCTTATTAACAGTAACAAACATCTCTCACATTTTTTTCCCCCTTCCCTCTCATTTTGAAAATGAAAGTTTCAATCAACACATACATTGCGCAACCATTAAAAGTCTATACTGTTACAACATATTGCCTGTTTGTTGTTTCTTCTTTGTTGGAACCTATGGGATATTGTCATGTTCTTAAAACACCAATTGCCTCAAGTCATTATTTTGTTGTTTGAGAAAACTTTAATAAAAACCCTAGAGCTTATCATAGTGAATGGTCAACCCAATGACTTGGGCAAGTGGAAAAGTGTCTCAGTAATTGGATTTATAGATCTCAATTTTTGGACTTTTAGTCCACCGAAAAAAAAACCCCCATTCCTTGCAATAACAAGAAACCGAGAAAATGAAGATGACTTTGGCAATTGTATTTTGACTTCAGTGGAACTCGGATTCAATGAGGTCGCCGGGCCTGACCTAAAATCTTGTTGAATCCGAGTGTGCGTTATTGCAAACACAAGGTTTTGTGCAGTTAATTACAAGCACTGAGCAAGTAATGTATAAAGAGAAGTAACAAGTAGTGCCTGAAATGCCTGCATATTATGAGCTGTGTAAAAAAAGACAGATTCCTTCCAATGCACACTCCCGTGTCATCTCGATTGTTTACCGAAAAGTTGTGTTGCTGTGTAGAACCTAGCATACGGTAGCATAGGGGGAAAAAAGACTGACACGTTTGTATCTGCGATGTTCAACGCCCGGACCGCTACTGCGCCCCTCCCCGACATGCACACGCAGTAACACGTGTGCAGGATGCCCATCTGACCCCAACACACACTATAGTAGACACATGCGCGTGCCAACAATGCATGTGTTGGTACGAAAATAAAGAAAAAAAAGTCCGCTGATTGGTCGCATGCAATCGGCTAAGTGAATAATGGTTCACGATGGATGGTATTCAGGAATAGATAAAGTTCGTTCTAGGAGAAAAACGAGCGAAGCCACGTCTGCGGGGGCTGTTCACCCTGGAAGCGACCTCGTTGAATCCAAGCTAGCTGATTTAAGTGCTCGTTGAATCCGGGATATTTTTATTGATTTTAAAGAAGAAAAAAAAACGGGGAATCTTAACTCTTCTCGTTGAATCCGAGTTCCACTTTCCATATATGGTAATGCCTTGGGTTACTTTTTTATTGATGTCTTTATGTTCCACTGCTAGGTCTCGGGGGATAATCGACTGCTGGTTCTTCAACTTGCAGTGCAATGGAATTTTATTCATGATGACGGTTTTTCCTAGTTTCAAAGAAGACAAAGGAAGAAATTTTTGTGAAGAAAACTTTTTCAGCACTGGCAGGTTTTAATTTAGGGATTGTTTTGACTTTTGACTGAGAGATGAACACCCTATCTTGTAGACAGTCTTTTTGTAACATTAGCTGTCTTGCCTCACTGTGTTGAAAAGGACTTTAGTCCCACTGATTCTACTCTGAAGTAACAAAAACTTGGGTCAATCACAATTTTTCTCTCCATGTATATAAATTATTGATTAATGTCTTTGTTCCTTCCTCCCTCCCCCCATCAAATTGTGGGGAGATTTTCCTTTGAGGAAAAATTAACACACGCAAGTTATTTTGTGATGAGAAAAAGACAAAGACAGACGAGAGTCAACAGGGGGAAAGCAAAGAAGTAGGACCTTGTATGCATCTCTCATGGGCTCATTTTTTTCCAACTTTATCTAGTCTTCCTGCTTTCCGCCTTGCACATGAGGCAAAAACCTGCTGTCGGTCTTTTGTTGTTGTTTGTTATTTACTGACCCTTACTGCTCCACTTAAAACAAAATATTCGCCGACACAAAACAGGATCTTATATATATAGCCTACCCAATGTACAAAGGTAGTTATGAGAGATTAACCGAAAGACAGAACTCTGTCGAGTCGAAGCATTCAGTTGCAGCAACCCCATCAGTGTCTTAAATTAAAGGTAGTAAAATCACAATCTAAACCAAAGTAAACTTTTCAACTCAAAAGACTAGTCATTAAAGCTAATTACCACAAAACAAAAAAGGAACCACAGTAATTTAAAATAATTTAATCAAGAGTGTAGTGTATTATGATGGAATAGGCATAATGTATACTCTCTATACACAAACAGAATTTAAAAAAAAAAAAAAAAAAAAGAAAACCCAGCATGAACATTGATGACACTAAAGTGGCTATATCGCACACTGACTTTCTTACAACATGAAAAAATGTTAACAAGGTGGCTACGGCATTCAGACCACTTGTCTCTTTGCCTTGTATCTCAATCCTATCGTTGATGGACACACATGTTTTGTTGAAGTAATACCACCTTGACAGAATCAAAACTAAAAATAGAATCTCTGCCTCTCAATTTGGGACCAGGCAGAAAGAAGTACTTGAAGAACATTCAGAGCCCACAAGGATTTCAAGTAAAGCCTTGTGCATCCATCTGTCAGTCAAGTTCTCCTCCAGTTGAGCCACAAGAGGGCTACTAAAACAAGCTATCTTTTGATAAATGCATCTGTGCTTAGCTATCTTTTGATAAATGTATCTCCCTTGCTAACAAGAGGATCAAACAAAACGATATAGCCTACTTGTTGAGCTGGTTTGCTTTGGTAGTATAATCTGCTTTGTTCTGTTCTTTATAATAAAAAACCCAACACTTACAACTTGAAGAAAGCAAAACAAGTTCACGGTCATAACATAACTGGGCAAGTCATTCCTTTCATGTTTCTATTTACTAGCATTGTAAAAATGCCATTACTTCCTACATATCCTCAATACAGCAGTTATGTTCCCAGTAGATCAATTAAAAATTGTATTATTGAGACATTTTCACTTTTGTTAAGTCATACCACTGACTTTGGTAAGCAGTTTTTTTTCAAGTTTTCTTAGAACAAAAATAATGACTTGAGCAATTGTGTTCTGACCGTGAGGACAAGTCTCTCAACCTGCTATGATATGTTTAAGTGTACCTGACAGCACCGCGTGAATGAAGGAACCCCAGACATGTGGGAGGTGGAACCTCCAGGCAGGAGTTAAGCCTCGCTGCCACCACACACGGACACATTTCCTGCCACTGGGGGTACCTGGGTAAATCCTCTCGGCTTACAAGAATTGCAGCGGCAGGTTGCTGGGCGTACATATACATCTCGACATATAGATCTTTTCATATATATATATATGTGTGTGTGTGTGTGTACAGCCAACAGCCACGTAGTGCGGTCTCACTAAGCTCACACTTTATGTATATAGATAGAAGAGCTCTTGTAAAAATGAATCAAGGATGTACAAAATGATGTGGCGATACAAAAATAATTATCATCAATCTCCTAAGAAATTATCGTACAAAAGAAAGCAAGATGTAAGGTTTAATGTTTAGGGTTTTTTTTGTTTTGTTTTGTTGTATGCATTTTCATGACTATGGCAGAAAAGAAACTTATAATCACAACAGAATGATGGAGGAAAGTTAACTGAATCACACTGATTAACATGCACACAAAAAAAAAAAAAACAAGAATGCAGAGAACATGTCAAACTGATGAGATGGTAGGTAAACTCAACGATAGAGGAGCCCCCCGTACAATGCATGCAGAGACATACTCATCATGTAGCAACTCTCACTGTTTGTTCGTTCACCGTGTAGTGACACACTGTTTGTTTGCTCATTTCTCGTCGGGGCAGTCTCGTGTGTGTCTCGATTCACTCCAGAGCCACAGAATGCTGGCGAGACAAGTAGGCTAAACCAAGGGACACAACTGCGTAACAGATAAGAGTTTCTCATAAAACTGAGCGATTCTCTGACTACCTGCCCCTACCAGTCCCAATTTTCTAAGCCCGGGTTACAACTTACACAAAGCAACAAAAAAAAAAAAACCCAAAAAACAAAAAGTGCTACAAAACCAAAAAAGCAAAGGACATGAGAACAGTTCAAAACGAAAACGGAAAGCACAGGAGAGACATTCCAACTCGGTACAAGTCTCATAACGATATGGTTCTTTAGACACCATTACCTCCCTTGAATATAAGTAAAAAGCCCTTGTATTAATAGTCATCAACATTTCAGGACGTAATGCACATATGAGAGACAAAAAAACGATATTAAGGAAATACAGGTAAGGTATTCCATTGTTTTTCCTATTATAAAGGACAGACTCTTGTGACAAACAAAATGTGACCGCTTTAGCATTGCAAGGAGTCTGACTACCAACACAAGTGACCTTTATCACCAAAAGTCTAACCGTGAAATAATCCGATCAGCAGTTACGATAAAACATATCCACAAAACTGTTCATATCATCCTGAAGCAAGGAGCAGTCACTCCTTCATCTGCCAGTTGCCACAGGTTCCTTTTGGCATGCTATAATATAAAATCACAGCAGAGACAAACAACATGAAAGACTCCCAAAGCACACGAGCTTTCTAACCCCCCCATCATAATCATAACTTGTCTAATACCATGGCATTGACAAAACTTACAGGCATTTGAGAAATAAGATTACAGGAAAATAATGTCTCTCCTGACACTGCTTCAAAAGACAAAACTGAAAAAAGCCAACTGAAATAGCCTACAAATCTCTAACTTTGCTCTTCATACGGAAAGAAGATTTCACACAAACGATAACTGAATTACAAAAAGCGGTACTAACTAGAAAACCTGAGATATAAAAAGAAAAACATCCTTTCTGGTCGGTTCATACCTCCATTTTACATGCGCTTACAATTCAAATAAAAAAACCCTAATCATTAAAATGTTTTTATCAGTCAAGGCTAAGCATTATCTCATGAATGATGAAACTCAAAAATCCATTGGAATAAATTCAAATTGACCTGAGGCAGTAAACACATTTCAGGTACATTCAGAGGGAACTTATTGGAATGGCAGAGTGTCAATGTATCAAAGACATTTCAAAACATACATATGTGTATATAAAAAAAAGTTTACCCAGTCTCAAAAAGTGCGTCTGCCAGAGGCAAGTTACATTACACTCTATCTAAGATTTTTAAAAACCTTGCAATCAGCTGCTCTAAAAAAAGAAAGATTTATTCTACGGCACACACAATATCCATGGCCAAGTCAATGTAAAAGTAAAAGCATCCAATAATGTAAAGCAGAACCAGTGGATTGGAATGACAACTATTTCAATAAACTCTATAGACACAAAACCCCATCTCACTGAGGGATAAGGGAAGAATAACAGGAAAATGGGGAGTGTAAAAAATTACCTAAACTTTGACCCCCCTCCCCCCCCTCACTCCCTGAAATCTGTACAAATGATCCCAAGTATCAGTAGGAAATGGCATAATCAAGTCAGTACGTGTTGGTGTTCATGAGGCATAAACCATTTAGCTAAGACACTGGTAAAATCTTTGTCTCGTTCAATAAAAAAGCTACCTCTTATCGGTAGAGGCCTAAGCAAGGAAAGGTGCGAGAGCCCCACAACAATCTCACCTCATGTCTCCCTCTATGCACAAGAGTCAGTCGTGGACGAGGAAATGACAGACAGAGAAGATGGAAGGGGGGCCAAAACGACAAACCCAGCAGAAAGTGCTAACATTAAACAGCGTTATCAGCAAAGTCCAAGCCAAACAATGCACTTTGTTCATCAATAAAATACATACAGCAACAGAATTAACTCAAGATGAGATACTATGTGTGCATGCATGTGTCAAGAATGTGCGCGTACGAATGTACAATGCAGCACACGGAGAAGAGAATGTCGATACTGACTACAGGCAATCTAACATACCTTTACGCAAAGCTTTGTGACAGTTCAAAACAGAAGTGACATTGTTCCCAGCAGTGTTCCCACAATTAAGAAAAGAAAACAAACAAACCCGGAGTCAGTTACAACAAGAAATGAGGTCAACCTCTTTGCCCACACGAGGCCACACACGCACAGACAGACACGACCCCTGCGGGCCGCGCAACCTAGCCTAAGAGCACTTAATATTGTCAACTTGCAAATCATTATCACCGAGTCGCGCAGGATGGGGAGGGGGGGAAGTAACTACCATCAGCGTCAATGTTTCTGCGCCACGGCTGTACAAAATACAAGGGGATAAAAATCAGTCGAATGCATGAACATAAAACTCCTGTGTAGGTTGACAAAAACTGTTGACATCAAGAGCTGCACAGCTGGGTGATCACAATGTAAAACAGTTATGTTTGTCGACCTTGAGACCAGCGCTTCTTAACCTTTGTCAAGACTGACATTCACTTTTGAGACTTAACCATACAAAATTTCATTCTCTGCCCCCCCCCCCCACCCCCCATTCACCCATTCTTGCTCCTTTTCTCTACCACAGTTTTGTTCATTTACAGTCCATATGGATACATTCCTCTAGGAATTAACCCTTGACCTAAATAAGAAGCACTACCTTAGACCTAGACTTAGGCCCTCCAGTAAACAGACATACAGTGCGCAGTCCACAAACCCACAAAACGAACAACGCAAGAATCGCCCAGCGCACCAAACAGTCCTGGTAGAATAATAATAAGTTTTCTAGGTGTTACACACCAGCAGAAATAATACAAGTCCTGCACAATAGCTTTCTCCTTTGATCCACAGTGACCTCGCGACCCCAAAAAACAATATAGTTGGGACCCCCGCCTATCAACTTACTCAGGCACAGTCAAGTCACCATTCTCCCCTTGTTAAACTAAATCAAAATAATATCAATAGCGTCTTTCATTCCTGCTGCATGTATAATGATGTACAAAATAGTCAGTACAACACTGGCACAAATAAATTCTCAAAACAAACATATCTTCTTTCAAAGCCTTTTTGTGTGCTGAACAATATCGTTAACAGCCAATATAGACAAATGACCATTCTTCTAACAGTCTACTTCTGTAGATTTTATTTAAGATGACGCAAAGGGGAAGAAGCCCAATCTCCACTCTATCCTCCCCCGACCTTATTTCCAAAGAAATTTAGGGGGTGGGGGGGAGATACAAAAAAAAGTATTTTCATACAAAAAAAAAAAGATTTTATCCAAGAGAAAGGGCGATTCTTAAGAGGGTATCATCATACTCTACAACAGTTCAATACACGAGACATCACTCACTGTACTGCTACAACAACATGACATAAGCAATGTGCAGGACTTGATCTATAAATCTTGCCCCCCCACCCCACCCCACCCACCAACCCATCCACCCACCCACTCCTAGACCGACATCGACAGCCACAAACATCTCATGGAATCACTGCTGGCCCTCGGTGAGCTGCTGGCCGTTCTGGCTGTGGTCGCGCGCCATGAGACAGGCGAAGATCGTCATCACCATCTTGGGCTTAACTTCCACGATGTCCTCGGGCAGGGCGTACACCTTGGCCCCCATCTTACGCGCAATGCCGATGGCGTAGCGGGCGTTGGCTAACTTGTCCTGAAACACACAATAATAATATTTAATAATAATAATATTTAATCATAATAATAATAATAGTAATAATAATACAACACAGTGGAGTCTGCTTGAACCAGAACCCGCACGATCACCAGATTTTCTTTGATCCGATATCTCTTAAATTACCAGGAAGTCCATTCCAGATCTTGGGGGCCATGAAATGCCAAAACTACAAAGAGGATCGAAAATCGGCAACTAGATTTGTTTTTGTTTAGGTAAGTTTTATGGCAGTCATATAAGTACTGAAGATTAGAGTAGTTACAAGAGAGTAACAAACAAAAAAAAAAGGAGGGAGATAAGGACGATAGAAGTTTGATAGAAGTTTGATAGGAAAGAAGGAGCAAACTACACCAGAGCACCCGCCAACCATCCACAAAAAAATAATATATATATATAGGGAGAGAGAGAGAGAGAGAGAGAGAGACAAAGAGAGAGAGACAAAGAGAGAGAGACAAAGAAAGTGACATCCTAGAACCAACAAAACAACCCCTGACCCCCTCTGACCTCCTCAGACTGTGCGTCGGAGACGACCTTCCAGTCGACAGCTGATGGCTTGATCTTCTCGATGAGCTTGATGAGGATGATGCTGTCCGACAGGTTCTGGTCACCGAAGCCCGAGAAACGCGCACTCTTGTCCAGCTGGGAGGGGAAACAAAAAAATGTACACAAATGACTCAGAAAGAATTTCTCTCTCAAGAGTAACAACTGTACATAGGTTAAAGAAAAAAAAATTGCTCTTAAGAGAAACAAAACATACACATATGACACAAAAGAATGAATTCGTTCTCAAAAGAAACAAATGTACTTTCATGATACGCCTCCATCATCCCAATTAGATCATTTCGAAGGTGGGCTTCCACTCAGCCCGTCGGAGCCAACCCAGGCTGAGTGGGATACGCCTCAACAGTAAGACCGAGGTACGCAACAAAAAAAATCTCTCCACTTGGAGAACTGAACTCAGGTCTCCTGCGTGCGACAGCAAATCACCCTAACCACTACACCACAGACGCTGGTGAAAGCAGGTTGTAGAGCACAGATGTTCCTGTGGTATCCTTACCCTCTCATTGGCCCACTGTAGGATAAGTTTCTCTGCGTTCTTGCTGTTGGCAGACAGGCCGGTCAGGATGGAGATGGTGTAAGCTCTCATCAGTTGCCACACCAGAGCTGTGGGATGGGGGTAGGGTGGAGGGATAAAGTGAGAACAATCAAATATAAGCATACAGTCTAGCATGCACATAGCAAAATCAGTGGGACATGGAAATCTCTTTGTCAATAAAAAATTTCACTCTTCACAGTTCAAACATCATTACATGATGATGACCTTTACTATTCAAGGAGGAAGAGAAGATATACATTTATAGGGAATCAATAGAAGTTTAATTAAAACTTTAATTGGATACACATGGAGTCATACTGTTAAAACATGACGTGTGACTCATTTTGTTAGGTTGCAACACAAATCAAAGGTGTTATGCTTTAACCACGTTACTGGAAAAAAAGGATCAACAATTTTTTTGTTCTAAAACCATTGCAGAAGTTAGTCCATCCACTGGTCCTTGACAAAAATCAGAAATCAACATGCACAACAAAAATAGTTAAAGTACTGCAGGTGAACTTTTGTGTCTTCTCTCAGGCAAACACAAGGATTTTCTTTGGGTTTTTTAAACGTTTAATATTATTCCCATAACCAGTTAACACCATCGATATATTCCCTATCCAAAAATGACGATGTGAGCGAATGACTTGGTTTAGTTTTAGTAAGAGTTTTATAGCACTTGCAACACAAACAGGTCATATAAATGCCTAAGATTAGAGAGAAACAACCAAAGAAAAGAAGGAGAGGTAAGGACGATAGATACTGGACAAGAAAGAAGGAGCAAACCCCACCAAAGCACCCGCCAACCCCCCACAAGACGTGGCTGTGAGCGAGTGACTCACCGAGCGTGAGCGTCTGGTTCCCGTCATGGATGTCGCTGCCGCCCACACCCACCAGAGAGAACTCCAGCTTGTGGCCCAGCTCACAGGCGTAGTTACAGTTCTCTGAGGATGACAACAACAATAATAATAACAAAAACAATAATATTAATAATAATATTATAATAAGAAGAAGAAGAATATGATATATATGACCTCTAAAATCCGAGGAGGAAGAGGAGTTAGTTCTCTGAGGACAATAATAATAATAACAATACTAATAACAAAAGTTTATCCATCAAGAACTGAAGGTGACCTTTAACGTCCAAGAAGGAACAGAAGTTACAGTTTCGATTTCAAATCTTTTATCAAGCTCACTGTAAACTTCCATTCAAAGGTATTGTAGAAGACTTGTAAAATCCTGCATGATGTATTTTAGGACGTACATTGTCCGGGAGAACACCATTTTTTTTGTCAATGTTAAATGTTTTGTGCATGGGAGCTGTCACAAAGGAGTTAATTTGATACACATGCATCAAAATGTGACTGGTGATTGATTCATTTTGTCCAGCTGTAACACGAATAACTACCCACGGGGAGCCTGCATCCATTGATAGACCACCCCATCTCAGCACCAATTTTATTTAGTTCTCCTTACCGTCGCGGTTATTGCACAATTGCCTGAGTCATTTTTCATTGAGAAAGCAGCACTCACCAATCTTCTCGTATTTGATCTTCAACTTGTTGAACTTTTTGTGCACGCGGTTCCACTCCACGATGCCCGGCTTGCAGATGTCGAAGAGCTGGAAGATGATAAGCCCGTCGGTGAGGTCATTGTAGATGTAGTGCACGTACGGGGACACGCCCATGCTGTTCATCCAGTTCCTGTAGGCTGTTCACATCAGAAAAGGGGGCAAATGTTAGATCAAGTTAGGCTGGTTCATACTGGCACCAGACAAGGTGCCCAGTGCTAGATCAAGTTGGGACTTGCTCAAACCAGAAAAGGGGCCAAGTGTTAAACCAAAGTAAAATTTTAGACCTTCCAATACAAAATGCTGATAACGATATAGATATTAGGAAAAAAATTCCTAAATAGCAATGTAAAATGGGAACCAAGTCCGCACAGCCTCTTTCCCTTAATCCTTCCAGTACCCATTCCTCCAACCCCTCACTTTTCTCGTTCTTCCCAACACTCTCTACCCCCCTGTATACTCACATCACCCCCACCACACATGAACACACCATACACTTTTCTCGTCCCTCCAAACAACCACTCTCCTCCTTTACACTTCTCTCTATATACTCATCTCTCTCCCCACTCTTCTTGTCCTTCCCAACACCACACACACACAAAAGCACCCC